GAGGTTGGATGGGGCAGCAGAGGGCAGTCAAGGGCGGGGGTTCCTGGGGTAGTCAGGGGACCGGGAGCAGGGGGGTGAATGGGGCAGGGGTCCTGGGGGGGCTGTCACAGAACAGGGGGGGATTGGATGGGACAGGAGTCCCAGGTGGGTGTCAGGGGGCAAGAAGTGTGTGTGTGGGGGGCAAATAGGGGGCGGGGGCTGGGCCACACCTGGCTGTTTGGGAAGGCACAGCCTTCCCTAATCGGCCCTCCATACAATTTCTGAAACCCAATGCGGCCCTCGGGCCAAAAAGTTTGCCCACCCCTGACTTAAGGGGAGCCTCTCCCTGGTACTGTGAGACTCATCTCTCCCTGGGGTGAGATAAAAATGGGACATAAAGCAGAAAACCAGAAATCATGTCAAGTTCCACATATCAGATGACGGTTTCAAATACCTTCTCTGTAAGTTAATAGAGACGAGAATTGCCTTTGCTGTAAGGCATGAAAAACGTTCCTATAAGTTTCAAGGCATTAAAAAAATGCTTAGGGACACACTTAGGATGTTTCTGTGTCTCTGGCTATCTCTCTACTTGAAAAAAATTACATGAGGCACAAAAAGATAAGTAATTTCTTAACCTGAAATAGTGTGAGAAGATAAAAGAAGAGAATTCACCCTTCAGATCATTCAGATAGTACTCCGCTTGGGTATTCTGCTCTGTCTACAGATGCAATATTTCCTCTTCATTCATTCCTTTTTTTATTTTGCACTTTCTTGGCATCTTCTTTCTGATGCCATCTGATTATCTCAAAGGATTGTTTTAAGCATACATTGATTAACACCCATTAAACTACAACAGAATACAGGCTCTTACATAACACTCTGCTCTTGCATAGCACCAGATCCTGCTCCCATTAATTTCAATGACAAAGCTCCCATTGACTTCCCTAATTCAAGATCAGGCCACTAGTGAAAAAGCTCTTTTAGTTGATTGGTTAGAGGCTGTTTTCTGGAGCCTAAAGTCTTCAATGTTTGTATATATGTATGTGGTTGGCTGATGCCTGACACATCTCTCTATATAGGTTTTAAATTATAGTTCAGATCCTTAAGATCCTTGACATTTCAATAGTGGAAATTCTAGCATTGTTATTTTAAGAGGATCCTTTATTGTGCTATGGATTGAATGCAAGTCCAGAAATATGTTGATTTAAAAACAGGGGGGACTGGCCTGTTGATGTTCTTTATTTGAAAGCTAGTATTATATTTCCTCTGACCCATGGGTCAGAAACATTACCTCATCATAGTCAAGTGATCTGTGGCAAAATGTCTGAAACACAACCTGTGAGTGATGCCATCAAGCATGACAGTCCCTGGCAAGTTCAGTCATGGTAGAAAGAATAATGGGGAAATGGACTTGATTAGCATCATCACACTCTTGCCAACTACCATGGCTAAGCATAGTGAGGCTCTAGACACATTCTTTACTATGATGTACAGAATAGTGGTGAAGCAGCCTTCACCCTGCCATGGGCTGAAAGCAGCTGAGAAAGATGATTGTATTTCCCATGGTCCTAGTTTGTTAAAGTATTTTTCCAACTACTGCTATAGTTCTTTGTATGTGATATTTAAGCATGTCTGCTCAATCAATAAAATATTAGAATCCTTTAAATGCTACTTTCACCAGTAGCAAAGATACATATTATCAACGTTCTGATATATTGTAATCTAATCTTTTTTTTAAACAGGAATTAAATGGGAACCAGATGAGAATGGAGTTATTGCATTTGACTGCAGAAATCGAAAATGGTAGGTAACAGTCAACCACCAACGTGTTTTTAAGAAATATAAAAAAATATAAGATCAGTCTGCATTTTGCTTCTTGGTCTAGGTACATACAAGCAGCTACTTCTCCAAAAGACGTGGTTATTTTAGTTGATGTCAGTGGCAGCATGAAAGGACTCCGTCTGACAATTGCTAAGCAAACCGTATCATCTATTTTGGATACCCTTGGAGATGATGACTTTTTCAACATAATTGCTGTGAGTTTCTCTGTATTTTTCTTCCCTTCTTTTTCTAATTAATTGTTTTGTGTTGTATTCTTTGTCATATTCTACATCCTGCCGTGTACACCAATAAACTGAATTTAGAGGACAGGTATCGAGGACTGTGTAATGGCGTGCTATTTCACTGAACCTCAGTAATTGGACAGACTCTTTGCATTTCTTCCAAAGCAACTTTATTCCTTGCTTTCACTTAACATATTGAACATTCTCTGGACATATTCCCTCTTTGATCCCAACACGACTACTTTCTGTGTCAAACTGCAGAGTTTTCTGTATGTCATTCTGGGAGTTGCAGTAATCATTGCCATAATAACCTAATGTGATTGCCTGAGTTGCAGCAAGCACAGCTCTGCTGTGTGACTTTATGCAGCTTTTTAATGCAATCTGTATGTTCAGCTTCCCCCCCCCCACCCAATAGGTGCATTTTTCTCTGTTTTCCGTAGTAGAGTGAAAGCTAAGGAATGCTTTGCACATAAAAATAAGTTACAATAGGCTCGTAGTGTCAGAGCCCCTTTGTTAAGACTGCAACATACTCGCATCAAGTTTACAAAGATACCCTAAAGTTTTCAGTCTGAGATCTGAGGGGTGGTGTTTAGCCCCCAAGCCAATTGAGTTCCAGAACTGCTGGCTGCATAAGCAGAAAAGTCATGAAGCAAGTAAAGCAACATGCAGAACTCACTGCACTGTGTCATCTTGATCTGCGTATTATCACTGTGGGTCTCATTTCACTTTTATTCCTAATAGCCATTGTTTTTCTGTACTTTTAAAGCAGCAACAAAATAATGGCAAATATGGCAATTCACATGTTACTCACCACCAACATTCTTTGATGGTCTGCAAAATTATATGTGAAAATTGGTATGTGATACTTATCCCCTGAGTTACCATAGTATACGTACGTGAGGACATACATTTACTATATACCCTATTCAAATTCTAGGTCAGTTTCCGATATGATCTGACATTATTTTGCAAGGAATAGAATGGGTGCAGCAAAGCTAAGCTGATGAGATGCATTATCAGTGTTACTAAAGATGATACATTAAATCATTAACAGCTGTCATTATTTCTGTGTGATGTGGCAGTTAATTTTCCATGGCACAGTAACTTTTTTAATTACAAGGTAAGAGCCTAATTCTGCAACCCTTAAACACAAAGGGACTACTCATGTGAGTAAAGGTGTCAGGAACAGGCACTAAAAGTTGGCTGCCTTTTCAACTTGTATATTGTGGCTGCCCTTGGCTTATAGCTTATACATGTTCCTTGCTGATAGCTTTAGAAATGCTTTATGTTAGTGTCATAATATATCAAACCTAGGATTTTTAAAAAACTGTTAATTCAATATATGCTGAAGAGTTTATTCAGGTACAAGCAAGTGCACTTTATGTAGTACAAAATGTCCCCAGTAAGATGCAGATCTTTTGTATGTAAAATGACTAAATAGTCCCTAAATATCCAAGCACTTACTATATTTTAACAGATAACAGGCAGTTAGTTCAGAATATCTTTCTTATTAATCTTTAATTACTCATTACATAATTAACAGAAACTCACAGAAGAGGAAGGCATAATTACATTCTGTACCAAGAAAGGTTTATTGTTCTTCAACAAAACTGTGATCAACTTAAATAATCTAAATAATGTTCTAAGTGGCAAAAATGTATCAACTAAAGAATTAAGATTTAAAGAGCCATATTTAGTCGGTAATCATGATGCTTATCAGTAGTTGTGTCAGTTAATGTAAATGATTCAGGAAGAAAAGTAGATGCTTTTCTTGAAAATAATTTTCTTAATGGAGAAACCCAATAGACCTATCTATCTAGAAAAATGTATAAAAAATAGTGACTTTGCAATAAAGCTATGATAGAACACCTTACTTTAGTACAATAACCATACAGCTGCAAATTGCTTAACTTATTGTAGCAACTCTATACTTATTCTTTTATAATTCTAGAGTTTCTGCATGCTTGGTTTATTATAGGAACTCCAAAGATATTTAGAGATTGTATTATTGTTGTAACTATAGAGTTATTAAATGCTTCATTTAAGAGAGTGTAAATCACTTTTTAAACAGCTTTTATTTTAATTTGTAGGCATTTTATATGATTTGAGCATAATATTTTTATACTACATTCTATACGATAGCCTCTTAGACACTACAAAATGGGCACAAACAGGGAGTTAGATATCAAGCTGTTTTGGTTTGTGCTTGCCGATTTTGGATCCACATTTATTTGTAGACACAAAACTGAATCCATTGATGATGATTTGTGTTAATGCTCAAGAGCCCTAGCCATGGACCACGACCCCTCGTACTAGGCCCTGTGCAAACACAGAACCAAAAGAGCTTACAGTCTGTATAGAACAGGAAACAGCAGGTGGTACCCAGAGGATTCAGGGGGCCTGGGGCAAAGCAATTTTGGGGGCCCCTTCCATAGAAGGGGG